AAGCTGATGGATCACATGCTGTGACACCAGTTAGTCCTAGTGGGGAATCGTACGATGAAATAATGGATAGGCATTGTCGGTTCAATATCCGGCGTATCTCGTAGTAGGGGTCCTAAGCTAGGCGTCTTGGAGCGATGGTAACATGGATACGGATTTTACCCAGGTTCGGGCCCTCTTGATGGAGGTAAAACCCTACGTCCTGCTTTTGATTGTATTCATATGGGGATAGTACAAAGTACATGTGTCTACCACAAGATGGTAATAATGAATATTCGATTGTCTATTGACTAGCCTGACCTTGGTTTATATATGCACCGGAGGCCTAGGGTTTTGGAGAGTCTTTGGCTTGGGCACCAAGTCTTGCGAAAACCTCCTTGTATGCAGCATGGGCTGCCCGAAGTGGCCCATGAAGGAACCATCGTGGGGGTGCTCGGCCCGATCCAGCTGGTCGGGTGACGACGTGGTGAGTACCCCCTAGTCCATGACACCGTCAGGCATCATGACAGCCTACTTGTTGATACTGGTGCAACAAGCATGGCCAATGGACTAGATGGTATGTTTTCTTCCTTGGTACAGAATTTGTATGATGCAAATGTTAAGTGCCTGCAGTGGGTTTGTGTGTACAAGTACATGTGTTATTTGTGTTCTGAAAAAGATTTTCTCTTTATGATATGTGATGCACAGATGGAGGCCCCGTTTATCGATTTGGTGATAGGTGTGCCCATAACCCACACGGGCAACATGTCCTTCACACAGATCGATGAACCGAAGTAGTTGGCAAACCTTTTGTAGAGGAGTTCGTAGACCTCGTAACAAGCAGCGATCATAGTGCTGGTGATCCTGGAAACCAAGTGCTGGGTATGTGCCCTGCTTGTAACCCAGATGATTGTATGTATGATCGTGCATTGCAAAAAGTAATAATTTGTTTTGCATTCTACACAGGTGATGGTGAGGTTCATCCAACTCTGAACGGAGAACTCGTCCTTGAATGCTTGAAATTTCAGACAAGCATTAACGGTTAGCACATGGAGTAGAGATTAGAACCCCCACCGGCAAACTATAGTACATGTATGAGCAATGACAGAAAGTAATCTGTTCAAATATGCAGGTGAGGAATTCCTGGAGTCCACGCTTGGAAGTGTTGGGGATCGTACTGAAAGCTTGAAATACCAGACTGTGCTAAATGGTAAGCACAGTACCCTGTGAAGTGAAATTGAGTTGGCGTAATTGGCTGTACATAACCATGATGTTTTCTCAGGCATACATTGTGTTGGGTACACTCCACCTCAAGGTTTTGTTAGGATGTCAGCCCCAGACACCATTCCTGAAGATCCAGCTGAAGCAACTGAAGGTAGTAATTATCATATTTGTTGCATACATCTGATTTGGCGTGCACATTAGGATAAAAAGTGCATGAGGCTGACATATAGTGTGTCACATGGAATGCATGTGTCTCTTTGAACAACCCTTCTACTACAGGAGGTAGGAGGGTCAAAAGAGAAGTCAAACGGGGGGAGCAAGAGGTGTCGGCAGAGGATAAGACACACTCCAAGGAGTAGGGAGACATCACCCGCGGTGATCTCAGATGAAGATGACCTCTCTGATAACTACCGTGTGGATAATGGAAACATGGAAGCACATATTACTGTAGCTGGAGCCGTCAGAAGTGGAAGTGCAAATAATCCCGCGAGCCAACAAAATGATGGGGCTCCAACACGGGGCACAACACGGTTACAGCATCACGAAGGTTACGCCTTCCCAGGGATTACAAGTGAGCAACAAAGACAAGATTAATTCTTAGCTTCCTGGTGCATGTGTTTCTGCTACCAATATAACTGACTTAGATATGTGTGATTGCAGTTACAGCCAGGGGAGAGAGTTCAGTTGCAGCCACAACAAGGGGTGGACAAGTGGTAGAAGGTACCAATAATTTAATGTACCGTTGATTTCGGAATACAAACTTCATATGACTGGAAGGTGTGACTTGTTGTTCTGTGTGTACCACAGGTCCAACTGGCGTGCCAACGCATACAACAGATGGCCAAAGGGAGGAACCACAAATGGATAATGCTGCCAGAGGTTGGCATCGTCTTCCCGTAAATCTAAGAACGATTGCCCATATGTATGTGAAAAACTAAGGATCTAAGATTGAAATGATGTTGCAGATGATGGTACTGGCGTTACAGTGGGTAGGGGGCTAGGCAATCTGTCCAGCCGGATGGCCACCAATCTGAGGTCGAATGTGGGCATGGTGAGAACATTTTTCAAACCTGAAATGGGAGATGGCTTCCCACGAAAGTTCGGACTGAAGCACAAAGATCCTCTTGGTCGCAATATTGTGGATTTCTGGGACAGAATGCTAGGCAGCACTTCAAGAGATCGAAACAAGTAAGTTCTGCTGTGGTTCTACACCCCTTATGGGGTGCTTAATAGATGTAGTCGAGGCTTTGTTGATAAGTGTCTGACCATGCTTGTGAAATACAGGAAGTGGTACAAGCATCTTGTGCCATACCTAGTGGTCCTATCAGGAGAAGACGTTGTGAAGGAGTTTGGACCAGGCGGGAGACTTAGTTCAGTTGGGTGGGCAGTTGTGTCACGTATGCTGGTCTACAAGGAAGGGAAAATGTACGAGACATGGCAGATCAGGTTCCGTCACGTCTTTGATCTTCACTTTGTGGTAAGAACTGCAATTTCTATGGAGTCAAATTGTTTACGTTCCTCCAGGCTGCATGATAACTAGATTACTTCTGTTCTTGCAGCTGGCACTGATGTACAGGGGGGCCAGCTTGGACTTTGATTACATGAATACCATGATGAGTACCGAAGCACTAGGTTACAGGCTTGACTGGACAAAGAAGGTAAAAACTTATGTCACACTAATTGGGATGACAAGATCCAGTACTAGTATGTCTAATAATCGGCATGACATGTTGCAGCTGATGTTACCAGTACCAAAGAGTGAATAGCTGGTCAGTATATGTGGTGGATGTTGAGGAGAGGACTTTGCTGGTGATGGACCCACTACTAGAAATCCCCATATTACCGCGGTGAAATATAATAGCCGACGGGCCGTCGGTTATTAGAGTAATAGCCGACGGTAGTTCCAATGGCCGACCGTTATTGCCAACTCACAACTATTACTACCAATAGCCGACGTTATACTAGATTGCCCGACGGTAAAAATCCAACTCTCGGATATCCAATTAAATGCCCAACGGTTCATTATAATTTCCAACGGTTTTTGCTACACCCTCGGGGATTACATGTAATGCCGGACGGTGAAATTTAATAGCCAAAGGTGAAAAATAAAACTCTCACCTATTAGTGCAAATGGCCGATGGTACATATGTGACTCTCGGTTATTTGGAAAATACCCAATTGGAGATAGCAATAACAGACGGTTAACTTTCACTCTCGGTGATATGCTTCAATGGATGACGTCAATAAACATGTGGAATGACCAATAGTAATTATATTCCAGATAATTCAAGATGATACATTTCTCGGTAAGTATTAAGCAATAGCTAGTATTCTAGAGTGTCTACTCACAGGCCATGTATCCGCGCATAAGCTGATTTTATATATAGAAGTATGTATAAATTTCACACTTTTAATTGTTGACTTGCAAGTTCCATTGAGAAGTTTTATCTCTATATCGGTAATTTATTATTCCGGTTGTAGATTTTGCAGGTCGGAGGGGCGTTCGGTGCAGGCTCTACGTCGGGGGAAACCCTTGACCAATGAGGCCGGCCACGATGTTGGCGACGCCCATTGTTTTCCTTCTTGTGGGCAACATCGAGACCTACACCCGGCCCTCCGCCTCTTGGCCGCAGGCGAAAGCCCAAAATCTCCGGATTGGGCGACGGCGGCACATCGGCGTTGCTTTCTTCTTGAAGGTGCCAGCTTGGAAGCTCTTCGTGGTCAGGGCTCAGTGCGGTGGTGGTCTGCTGGTCTTCAATAGTGTTAATGCTCGGCAGCTGCGGTGGGTGTTTGGGTCTTGGCCCGAGACGGTGGCGACGTATGAGTTTACTTTAGGGGTGAGCTCGCCACGACTGTTGTCCTATCCTCGGCAACTGGTTGGCCTGTCCATTCGTGCTCGGGGTTGAGTTGCTCTGCCTGCCGATAGGACGGCATCCTTAGATCCAGGACGAGAGGGCAGGGGTGCCCTCTTCGGAGGCAGCGACGGGTCAACAAGTTTGACCGTGGGAGGGAGAGTGTGGCTTTCGTCCGACGGTGAATAGCTCCTTTGTCGGAGTCGTTGATGACATGATCTGAGGTCGTCGTTGTTCCGTGGAGTTGTGTATCTCGTTGATTCATTTTCCGTTTCTTGTTGTACGGCCGGTTGTAATTTATAGTTTTCTTTATATATAAAGCGAGGAGAAAGTCTTTCTCGGTATGGCACACACATTCAACTATAACTTTATACTCCCTCTATTCCTTGATATAAGGTGTATAGGTTTTTGAGAAAAAGTCCGAAATATAAGGTGTATTACGCTGCACCACTCGTTTGGATAATTTTTTTAGGGATTTGATTACATTTCCTTATATCATGTAAGATCCTCTATTTTCTCATGTCAATTAGTCATGTGTAATCTCACTCAAAACTTGTGAAATTTTCCCTCCACATGCGTTCTTTAATTTCCGTGCCAAAAACTATACACCCTATATCTAGGAACGGGGAGAGTATATGCATACCAATATACTCCCTCCGTCTCAAAATAAGTGTCTTAAAATTAGCATAAAGTTGAGACACTTATTTTGAGATGGAGGGAGTATTATTAAATAGAGCTGCTATAACATATAAAGTAGTGATCCAAACGCTCTTATATTTCTTTACAGAAGCAATAAGATCTAGGTACAACGATTCATGTCAAATATAGATTGATTCCTTGATTTGGGTCCAACACATGTGACCATAGCATCAGCCAATCGTACAAAGACCGTCCGATATTTCCCGCTTGATAACAAATTTTATGTACGTGGCCACGTCCTCCCATGTCTCACCCCATTTTCCCTCTGATGAAACCTCCCAGGCCACTCCTTCTCTTTCCCCCATCCCCGCCAGTCCGCCACCACGCGCCAATCCCGCCGTCGCCCGTCGATCCGGCGCGCAGTTCCACCCTCGTCTCTCTCCCTAGTCCAGTAACGTCACCCAGCCCCTTAGCTTTTCCTCCTGACGCGAAAATGTCCTTTTGACTCCCATCTCCGTCTTGTTGGCCAGCAGATCTGGCAGCCCTCGGCCATGACGCTGCGAGCTCTGGCCGGCTTGACCTCGTCGGCTCGTCGCCCCCATTCAATAGGTGCTGGAGGCCGCTCCTCGGGACCGCGGCGGTCTTCTTCATGGGCTCTCTCTCCCTTCACCTCCTACGCCATGTATCAGCCCCTTCCTGAAACTCCTCCTCATCCGTGTGCCCCTCTGATGTCGCCGAGTGGACCACGCCCACACCCGCCTCCACCCACCTGTACCAGGTCCGGTCGCCTCTTCTTTTGGGCTTTGCGCAATTCGTTGAGCAGGTCATATATGTGGCGTGTGTACGTGTGCTTTTGTACTGGATGGTGGGATTGTGTTCTGGTGGTTGTGGTGCAGGATTTGCTCCTGTTGTTCAAGTTGAATAGCGGGGAGATGGAGGAGATGGTGCCATGAAGGGCTAGTGTGGTGGTGAGGTTCAAGTTCTATAACGAGGCCATGGTTGTTTGCATGTCTGTTTAGTTTTTTTCTTTTGTATGGTTGTTGAAAAACAAAGCCGAGCCTATTAGTTTGGAAAGTAAAGTCAAGCCTATGTGTTGAAAAATAGTTTGATTAACTAGCAAGTGGCCATTTGCGTCGGTGAGTTGAGCTGGCTAGCTTGTGTTGATGCATGCATGTTTGGTCAAGGCTAGCTAGTTGCGGCAGTTGGGAATAGTACATAAGAGAAGAGACCCTATATCAGCGTGTGTAATCAGGACTGGCATGTATACTTGATACTACTGTATAGCTTAACTAGCAGTCCCTGTAAGCAAACCAACTAACATTGAAGAGGTCCTCCATTCATGTCATAGTACGTACATTCCTAGTTCTTTTTCCTTCAGTTTTGGTTCGTAGATGTAATTATAAGTTTTGTAATCTCGCTTTTGCTTTTCTTATCAGTATTTTGTAGTTCTGTAACATTTAACTTGTATGCCTAAGGCTGAAGCAGTCACTGACATGTTAACATCATGTCCTGTGTGTTCTTTCTCAAAGATGTAGAGCAGGGTTTCTTACAGTTTGATAAATATAGGCCACATCAGATTTTGAAGGCGGCTTTCAAAGGGGGTGAGATGATGCTCGTCAAGACTAGCTGAAAAGGTTAGTCCATCATGTCTTACCCATTTAGTTATGCGCCAATTTAGTTCTGGACAACATGAGCATGCTGCGGATAACTTGCTTTGAGACATGCTCTTTTTATTTGAGCCTGATTTCTTAGCTTACCTCATTGCCTACGTGGTACTGTTGTACTATATATGATGTATGCAACTGCTTATGCCCTATTTTCCCAGATGTGGCTCATAACTGAGATATCTATCTATTAAATCCATCTTAATTAAGGTGCGATGGCACAATTTGGTTGAACTCATATAGGAAAAAATGTTGCTATAATCAATAACAGTAAAATCATTTGCACAGAGAAAAATATTTCAACATTAGATAATATGATCTGGCATGTTTGACCCTCATCAGGCGTCCTCCTTTCTAGCTTTTGTTTTTCCCTGTACTAGCTTTGCCTCTTTTGGTCCTCAACTTTCCAGACCTTGATGCTTTTGAGAATGTCCAGCAAACTTGGTTTCATTTTAGTAATGGAACCAGGGGGCCGCCTCTCTGTTTATCTAAAAAAGTGGACAATATTGAATTTTTTTGGAAGTGCATACAGAAATAATGGTAGCTTAACATGAAGAATGATTGTGACATGTCATACGAAACATAAGAAGTTGCTTAATTTGCTATGCGCAATAACTATAGTTGGTGGAGATTAGTGTGCTACTGCTATTCTACATCTGTTTTTTGTATTTATATCTTTCTTTACATGACATTCTAAATCTGTTTTTTGTATTTATTGTATGCCCAAACTAGCCAATAGTGTTATGCTAGTCTACTGCTTCTGTTGTGTCATCAGACTACAAAATATAAGCGCTAGTATATATACTTCAGTGGGGTTGCAGATGTCTGTTGTACATTTGTACTTGGTTATCATTTTACAACTTCAACAAGCCAATGAATCGATTATCGACACGACATATGTGTCTTTCAGATAAGGTTTTTTTACCTGTATCACATGGCCATCTTGGTGTAACCATATTACATGCGGGTTCTGGACATACGATTGTTACAGTTAATTAAAAAATGTCGTGTGCTTCGAATTATATTAATGTTACAAGTAATTTGGAAAGCATGATGTGTTCTGAACCGTTGCAAACTTATAATGAAATTGACATTAGTGCAGTTTATTGGTATATTCCTTTTGTACACAGAGCAACGTGTAGTACTCAGTCTATTATTTGGAGTTGCGTTCCTGCTGATTCATGTAACCCTGAAAATTGCATGTGAAGGACCAAAAGGTGAGTACGTAGTCATACTGTTAGATATCTAACCAGTCAATTAGAACATCTAAGTTCCTTTTTTTGTATCATCAATTAAATTTAAACTACAGTATGTCGTTTTCATCTCCCTTACATCTAGTCTAATCATTTCTTAGGAATGGGAGACAGTACTGAAGAATCATGATCTATGGCAAGGGTGATGATGTCTATGGCGATGATTGTTATGATCTATTTGGCGACGAGCATTATGATCCATATGGTGATGAAGGGTGACGAGTCTAGTGATCTTTCTTCAAGACGTTCAACAAAGTGAAATCATGGGGTTTTGGTCAATCTAGCTTATGCATAATGCTTGGACCATTATATCTTAGTTTTTTTTGCATTTTAAACTTTCTAGATTACTCATCATGATCAATGTAATTCTGATGCAACTCTTCTGATATTTTGAAAGTTGTGCTATATACAATATATGTTACTTGGTCATGTGTGGGCTGTGCAATTCTGTGATATATTTGAAATGAAAAACAATCCTCTAAGGGTGACTATATATAGGGTGTTCGTCGGCCTCTCAACTATAGGAATAAATGAAGGGGTGTATGCACAGTCAGCGATTGTACTAGCTGACAGTTTGGTTCTTCTCCTAGTTATAATGAACCCCGAGGGGCCAAATATGCCGTCACCTATTGCAAAAGCTGAGGGGAATCGATAACTGTCAGGAAATAAATTCCCCATGGGAAACCGTCAGATATGAGCATCGTCGAGTTATGGGGAGCTGGATCGCGACCAAAATATGACCGGCGGCTCACCGTCAGCCAAATACCATGGAAAAATGTATTAACCTACGGTACCGTCAGCTATTATTGTAATGGCCGACCAAGCATAGCTGACGGGAGATTGCCGACGGTGTAGCGTCAGTTATAAAGAAAGATGACGGTGAAGGAAAATATCCGACGGTAATTTGACCCTCGGTTATAATGGGAAATCTAGTAGTGCCCCATGCGAGACATCATTAGATCAAGAGGTGATGAAGGCCAAGCATCACTACAAGAAATATGTCAACTTGCGACCATCACTATTGGTCACTGAATGGTCATTGTTTTTCATTTGCGACCTTTTTGCGACCAAAAACAGATGGTCAAAAGCTGGCGGTCATAAACTGAAATTAGTGACCTTCTTTGTGATATGTAAAAGGTCGTTGGTTCCACGGCCAAATTTTTTGTCACTAGCATCCAATGTGGCAAGCTGACGTGGCACAAGAATCAACCCGGTACAATTCGGTTTTCTACATGGGCCTAGTCCAACAATTCAGGCTTTTTAATATTTATTTTTCCTATTAATTTTTGCTAGCTACATGGGCCTGGCCCAGCAATTCGGCCTTTTTATTTCTAGATGCGGCCTTTTACAGCGTATGATCTTTTATTTTTTGCCATTATATTTTCCACTGTTTTACATTTGTCCCAAATATCATAGTCTCATACACTGGCCTCACACGTAAGAAATTTCAAATGCGCTCAAATTATTTTTATAAGTGGGTCACATGAGCCATGTTTCCATTGCACACATTTTCAAATCACATACATAATTACTATTTCATATGAAACAAAAATTGAAATTCTGAAACATACAACATTTCATTCAAAAACAGAGAAGATACATGAAATTCTGGAGTTCACAATGCCCAGATAACCCAGCTATTATTACATAACTTGCTACAAAAATGTCTTGGCGCTTCTTTGAACATCTTCTTTCGTCTTGAATTTAGGCAAAATATCTTCCAAGAAGAAAACAGAACAACGAGGATTAGTGTGAACAACAACAGCAGCAAGTGATGGGGTGCTATTTAGTAAGATTAAGTCCAGAAAGAAACATGCATGAAAATTAAGAAGAGCTAGAGCAAGTCTGCATGAAAATTAAGAAGTGCTATTTAGTATGATTGCCGTGAAGTTTTCGTGCACGTCATGCCAAGTCAGCCAACACGTAGCATGCATGTGGGCCATAAAACATGATCACAGTTCAGCACCTACGACAGCCTGACACAATAGATCAAGCCATGAAGTGATAATAACAGTGTGTGATGAGAAACTCACCGCTCTTTTTAATTACTATGAGCAACAAAACATCTAGTTTCAGATACTCAACAGATTCATTCATATACTTATTGTGTGTTGACATGGATTACAAAGGTTAACAACAAAACTAAAACTGGAACTTGATACCATTTGTGATGCATGACATAAGCTAACAAAAAAACACATTCCAAAACTATTTGTATAAAGAATTTATACATGGATACATTCAAGAACTAGAAAAGTTCAAAGAGGTTTATAAATGCAAAAATAACTTGAGGAAAAGTAGCCAACTTATGTATGAATCCAGTTCACTAGAGCATTTTATGAAAAAAATATGATGCATTGGAACAGAGCAAGGTACTTCCACAATAGAACAAAATAGGGAGCTAGAGGTAGGATATGGGCTCACCGAAGAGGAGGCTGTACTTGATGCCGCAGACAACCGCGGCCGCTGTACGCGGTAGAGGAGGTTGTAGCCGAGTTGGACCATGTGTGGAGCGTCGTCGTGGCGGTGGATGCCCTAGTTGTCATCATTAACTTACAACATCAGCAAAATAATAAACAGGTAATTATACAGAAGGAAAACAATAATTCCAAGAATTTTACATTTACAAGATTATCTATAATGGTTACTTATTTATTCTGCAAGGAACCGCGACATATTTCTGTGGAAAAAGAACATGTATGCAAGCCAAACCACCAAACAAATAACGAGTTGG